CATGGGGCTCGATCCTGGGACCCTGGCATCATAAACTGAGCCGAAGGCAGATGCTCAACCAACTGAGCCACCCAGGTGCCCCCCCCCTTTTTTAAAGTTTGTTTAAATAATCTCTACACCCAATGTGGTGCTCGAACCCACAACCCCAAGATCAAGAGTCTCATGTTCTGACTGAGCCAGCCAGGAGCCCCAATACTGTTTTTTCCTTTACACTCTTTTTATTCTCGAATCCAGAAGATCCATCAGTCAAAATAATTGCTGCTTTTATTTTTTTAAGATTTTATTTTTAAGTAATCTCTACACCCATCATGAGACTCGAATTTACAACCCTAAGATTGAGTCGCATGTTCTATTAACAGCCAGCAGGTGCCCTATTTACCCAAAATAATTAAATCCCATGGGTGAAACAATACTGTTTTGAAACTTGGTTTTTAACATTTGCTGTTCAAGCCACAGGGAGCAGCTCAAGCAAAAAAAAAAAAAAAAAACCAAACAAACTGCATGCAGAGTGGGGTGCTGATTGCTTTTGAACATTTTAGAGGAGCCAATTATTCATAAGACATCATGGTTTGTTAGAAATGAAATGATCACCTGTGTTTGACCTCATACAGGTGAACCAACCAGGATTATGGACACTGGGTCTACAATAAAATGTTCTAATTTGCAGCTGAGGACTACTGAATCACATACACTCACATAAAGACTGCGTGAAGCAAGTTTTCCAGGGGGAAATAACTTAGCTGTGAGTCTTTTTTTTTTCCTCTTAAAGATTTTATTTATTTGAGAGAGAGAGAGAGAGAGAGAGAGAGAGAGAGAGAATGCGCGAGGGAGCATGAGTGGGGGAGGGGCATAGGGAGAGGGAGAAGCAGGCTCCCCAATGAGCAGGGAGCCCGATGATGTGGGGCTGGGTTCCCAGGACCCTGGCTAAGGCAGACACTTAACCCACTGAGCAACCCAGGCACCCTTGATGTAATGCACATGGATACAAGGGGGTGGGGGGCAATCCAAATGGAGGCAAGCAGGACCCTAGAGATCTGAAGATGGGATGGGGTACCCTGAGGATGGTGGGTTCCAACAGGGCTGGAGCTCATTGGCTGGGCACTCTTGAACACGGAGCTGAGTCTGCGTTTTCTCTGAAAGGCAGTAAGTAGCTTGCTAAGGAGAGATGCAGTGCTACAGAGGTGTCAAATGACTGGCTGGGCTGAATTGGAGTAGGAAACCCTGAACCTGGAAGATTTAGGTGTGGTAATCCTAATGAGGTGAACAACTACAATAGGCCGGAGGGAGGCACAACTGAAAAGGGACAGATCTGGAGAAAAATGAGGAAGGAGACGAGTCTTTTTTTTTTTTTTTAAGCCTTTATTTACTTCTGATTTGAGCAACACTTGTACACTGTCAAACACTTGGAAAACGGAGAGAATAAGAGGCCGTCTTTATCAACCCACTGCTCAAGAATAACAATTGTGAGCATTCTGAATACTGTGTTTGAGGATGAGAGAATGGGCTCCATATTTTCACCAGGGCCAGGCAAATACACCCTCCAGCAAGCAGATGGAGACAGCTTTCTGGCAAGCTGGGGGAGTTCCCTGCGGCGGACAGGGAGAGCTTCTAAAAATGTGAAGTTTCTCCCATTTATCCATCCTAAATTTCTAACCCGGTGCTATTAGTGATCTGTTAACCTTTATCTTGAGCAGCTGCTCAGTGTGGGGGATGCCTTGCTTTCCAATTCTAGAAATTAGGTCTGGTTCCACCTGAGCCTCACCCATTTTTACCCACAGGTGAGCTGGCTCTGGAATTCTCCTAAATCTTTTATTTGAGAGAGAGAGTGAGCGAGAAAGAGAGAGAGAGAGAGCACAAGCCAGGGGGAGCGCAGAGGGAAAAGGAGAAGCAGACTCCCCACTGAGCAAGGAGTCTGATGTGGGGTTCGATGCCAGGACCCTGCGATCATGACCTGAGCCGAAGGCAGACGCTTAACTGAGCCACCCAGGTGCTCTGAATTCTCCTAAAATCTTGAAACTCAAATATTCTCTGACTTCAACCTCTCCCCATTCCAGTTCCTGCCTTCTCATCTGGACTTCTGGACGCTGAATTCCCTGTTTTCCCGCTTCCTCTGGTGTCACGGTTAATCATCTGAACTGCTTTCTGGCTATCGTCTTTGATTGCCTTTTCTCCTGGCCCTTAATGTGCCTGGCAAAACTGAAAACTCAGACTGTTTCATTTCCGCTGTCATATAGCCGAGTGCTGTTGCAGGAACTGGAAGATATAAACTGGAATCACCACAGCTGTGAAGGCTCAGAGCTCAGCGAGGCTGTCAGCCCCCTGTACTGTCTTGTGGTGCCCTAGTCCTAATTACAAGCCACGTCCATATTTCCACCCTCCGGATTTCTTCCTGTCTCAGACGAATGGATTCTCTCCTTGCCATCAAGCCTAACTTCTCTGTTGGCCAGCTGCCTCAGCTCTTTGACCCAGTGTCTTTACAAAGCTGCTCCATCAACCACCACCTCTCCTATATTTTCAACCTCTGGCTCCCTACTGATGAATAAAAGTGTGTCATTAGCTCCATCCCCTGACCCTGCATTCCCTTCCAGCTATCATTCAATTGTTCTCTCACCTTTACAGCCAAACATTTGTTTAGGGACTATTTCAAACATGTTACATGAGTCTCTGAAGCTGTCAAATCAATCCAATGTGTCACTGCTGGCATTAAAAAAAAAAAAAGATATTACACAGAATGCAGATTGTTTCATGAATCTTTTAATTGTAAATAATGTGTATACTGGGTCACACGGCAAAACATCATGTGAGTTGTGGTTGAACATTTGAAAGACACTGTTCTAAATTAGTGGTCTTCAAAATTTTGTTTGCATGATTTTGTTTGCATGAATTTATCATTGTAAGTTTAATTACCTGCAGAGGATTTCAGGTGGATTGCAAACATTAGCATTGTTAAATAAAACTAAAAAGAAATTTCCACTGTAGCAATTTGACACCTGCCATCATCCATTCAAAAGATATATGAACAAGTTTTAATAGTTGGAAATTTTACATCTCATTTCCTCTCTCAACTCAGAATTGGGGGCGCCTGGGTGGCTCAGTCTGTTAAGCATCTGACTTCGGCTCAGGTCATGATCTCGGGGTCCTAGGATTGAGTCCCACATCGGGCTCAGCAGGGAGCCTGCTTCTTCCTCTAGCCTGCCCTGCCTGCCACTCCCCTTGCTTGTGCTCTCTCTCTGAGAAATAAAGTCTTTAATCTTTTTTTTTTTTAAAGATTTTTATTTATTTATTTGAGACAGAGAATGAGAGAGAGAGAGCACGAGAGGGGGGAGGGTCAGAGGGAGAAGCAGACTCCCCGCTGAGCGGGGAGCCCGATGCAGGACTCGATCCAGGGACTCCAGGATCATGACCTGAGCCGAAGGCAGTCGCTTAACCAACTGAGCCACCCAGGCGCCCGACAAATAAAGTCTTTAAAAAAAAAAAACCCAAACAACTGGGATGCCTCCCTCAGTGGTTCAGTTGATTAGGGAGCCTGCTTCTCCCTCTGCCTGCCCCTCCCCCAAGTGAGTAAGTAAAATCTTAAAAAAAAAAACTCCGAATTGTTCTTCTTCCCTCATAAGATAAAATGTAACATATATAGAGATACATAATATACAGGTAATACTATGTGTAAATATCTATTTTTATACTAGAAATTTTATAATACTTCTCTGAAGTAAAGTTGATGGGGCACCTGGCTGGCTCAATTGGTAGAGCATGCAACTCTTGATCTTGGGGTTGTGAATTGAGCCCCATGTTAGGTGTGGAGATTACTTGAAAATAAAATTTTTAAGGGGTGCCTGGGTGGCTCAGTCGGTTAAGCCTCCAGACTCTTGATTTTAGCTCAGGTCCTGATCTCAGGGTGATGAGATCCAGCCCCTCATTGGCTCTGCCCTCAGCGGAGAGTCTGCTTCTTTCTCCCTCTCCCTCCCCTTGCTCTCTCTTTCTCTCAAATAAATAAATCTTAAAAATAAAGTAAAATATTTTAAAAATACATATATATATATAAGTCGAAATTACCATTTTAAAAACTTCCCGTGACCACAAGGCTCTAGTGTCAAAATCTTCTTTATTGCATAGAATTCAATTGATCAAATAAATGCATAAATTTTGATAATCAAACATCAAAATTAGAATTTTATTGGAGATGTAACTCTTAATGAGACTGAGAATTTATTTCTTTCAATCCCATCCATGGATGAATATCACCATTGCTAGAATGAGACAGGTTTAGCATCAATACTAATCCTATTTTTCATCTTTTATACATGCAAGAGCTGATAATCTTTGTTTACATAAATAAGCAGATTCCCATCTAGGATTTATTGAATCTGCTGAATACAATTCTTTAAACTCCTTCAAAGTTCTATGCCAAATCACATTGTGATCTACCATCAATTTTTTTAATTTAAATTTTCAATTACTTTAGGTTTACAGAAGAATCACAGATAGTTCAGAGCTCCCCCATATAGCCTTGATCCAGCTTCCCCTAATGTTGACATCTTAAAGCACAGTACATTGATCAGAAATTAGAAATTAACATTGCTGTAAGAGTATTAACTACAGACATTGTTAATTTCACCAGTTTCTCCACTAATATCCCTTCTCTGTTCCAGGATCTAATCCAGGATACCACACTGCATTTAGTTGTGATCTCCTTGTCTCCAGAGTTTCTCAGTCTTTTCTTGTCTTTCCTGATGTTGACAGTTTTGAAGTGTACTTATCAGTTATTTTCTAGAATGTCTCAATTTGGATTTGACTGTTTCCTCTTGATTAGACTGGGGTTATGAATTTTGGGGGAAGAATTCCAGAAATGAAGTCCTTCTCATTGCATCATATCAGGGGGCAAATGATATCAACCTGATTTATTACTGGGGTGTTAACCTTGACCACTTAGCTAAGGTGGAGTCTGTCAGTTTTTTCACTGTAAAAATTACTGTTTTCCTTTTTCACATTTTATTGTTTAGAAGTAAGTCCAGCCCACACACTCAAGAAGTGGGATTCAAGCTCTACCTCCTGGAGGAAGCAGTATCACAGATTTTGTGGCCATATGTTAAAACCGCCACTATATTAAATATTTGGGGGGAGATAACTTGAGTCTGTGAAAGTATTGTTTCTTCTTAAAGTTTCACCCATTGCTTTTAAACTTTATCACCAACAATTTTTAAAATAATCTATCAGCTGGTAACTCAATTATGTCCTCCTTCAATTTTGTTGAAAGCAAATACTTGGGAACCAATTGCAAAATCCAAATATCTACATATTTCCAAGTGTTCTTGTGTCTGGAATCCCATAGGTTTGTACACCCTCGGGCAGTACATCATAGATCTGATTCAGGATTGGAGAGAGGTATGCCCTTCTTTTGTAAAATGGGAGAAAAGTGTGTCCTTAGGCAACCTTGGAAAAATCAGGATGTACACATTGATTTCCTGAAAACTGTCCTGGTCTGAATACTTCATGAGGTTAGTATTCTCGAGTTTGAAGACATGGCTCTAAATGATTCTACTCCAGTGATTTCACCTACCAATACTGCCGTTTATTCCTCGAGTTCTTACCTTTTGTCGATACCTGTTCCTTTCTCCAAGGCAAATCTTTCAACCAGTAAGTTCTCTAGCAACTTGGCTTCCTAATTTGGGCTTCATTTTCTTCCTCTTACAATATTAAGCGGCTTGCAGCTTCCAGAACACACACTGCTGCTTACCTCTACCACCTGGATATTCCATCCATATCCCCTCTCCGCCTCGCCCTGTGTAGCTGGGGCTCTGGATTCACAGTCTAGGCTAGATGGCCACTTGAAAACGTGCTCCAAGTGGCAGATCTCGAGGGCTGTAGAGCGACCTGCTTCTGGGGCGGGGCAGTGAGTGCTAGCTAGCTAGCGTTTGTAGACGTTTTCCACATTTCACGGTGAGGAATGTTTGCCGCACAGCACAACCTTCAGAGTCCGTAGGCACCCAGCGCTCTCAAGGCGCCTCGTCTGCGCGGTGATTTCCAGTGTCCAGCCCTGAAATGCAGTAAGTCCTAGAGAAAAGCCAACTAGTACTCTTGCCTCCAACGCCTTCACCCGGAGCAGTCCAAACTCAGAGACCCCGCCCGCCTCGGCCTGCCCGCCCCACCTTAAAGTGGGCTGGGAGTGCCCGTTCCTCAGGCAGGCTGTGGACCCATCAAGGGCCTTTACTGTTTGAAGATTACAAAGCCAGGCGGCAACTCACGCGAGACGGAGATAGTATTCTCGCGAGAACTCTGGGAGGCGGCAGTGATGGCGGCGGCGGGAACCGGACCCGGACCCGGAGTGGATGCAGGACCCGGCCCAGCCGCGGCCGCAAATGCAACAGCGGCGGAAGAAGGGGAGACAAAACCGGTGGTAGCGGTGGCAACTGCCCCGGCTGGAGAGGGGACATCTGTTGCTCCAGCAGCGGAACCCGGTTCTGGAGAGGCAGAAAGCGGGTAAGACGTCCTGTAGCCCGAGGAGGACACAGGAAGGGAGGCCCTCCGCTCTTGGAATCCCGCGGCTCCCGGGAACCCTCCTGCCCGCCCCCTCCGAACCTAGGCCCTGCAGCCAACGACTCGCCCTGCCCCCTCCAGGACTGTAGTCCCGCCCGCCGCTTGGCCCGTCCCCTTGGCCCTCCCCTCTGAACTGTATCTGAAACTACGCCCCTTTCCGCACCTTTCGCGGTCTGTGAGAGTCAAGGTTCTTGTTCTCTCTCCTGCTTTTGCATCCTAACAGGGGGCTCGAAGCTCTCTCTCCTAGCAGACACTCCTCAGATATCCCACAGAAGAAACCACTTTGCATTGCCGGACTGGAAGAAGTAACGGTTCCTCTGAAAACAGTGGGAGAGCTGCATCCCTGCGAACCTTCCCCGGGACCAATTCCATCCCCATGTAGTTTTGTCTGTAAGGGCCGATTAGGCTTTCCTGTGCCCTATGGGCCTGCGTCTGTCTAGGCCATGTTCTTCCTAACCCGGGGCATCCAGGCTGAGAACAGGCTTAGTTGAAAAAGCTGTAGGAGTGTGAAGTTCAGCTGGACTTTGATCATTATCTTTGGGCATAGGCATTTTGAGGTTTGTTTCTCTTGAAAATTCTTACTGAGTGCTTCCATTATCTTGTAGGGATGCAAATTCAGTCGACGTAGGTGGTGGTTTGGAGACAGAATCCTCTAATGGAAAAGATACACTAGTAAGTATTTCTTTTTGGATGTATGCAAGGCAAAATAGGTTTTAAACTTTTAAGTGAGTCAGAAATACAGTTGGGTCAACTGACTTGCTTTTCTAATTGCTCTGTGGACACAGGAAGGTGCTGGGGATACTTCAGAAGTGATGGATACTCAGGCTGGATCGGTGGATGAAGAGAATGGTCGACAGTTGGGAGAGGTAGAGCTGCAGTGTGGGATATGTACGAAATGGTTCACAGCTGACACCTTTGGCATAGATACCTCGTGAGTATTTTTTGTAGTCTGTAAAAATTGCCTTGTAAAATAAATCTCAACATATTCAACAGCTGAATAATAGTTTGTGGGCAAATATAAAAGCATATTACTTCCTGTGTCTTCTAACCCCTGTTCAGTGAGTAGTAGGATTTGAATCAGAAGTTGTTTAATAAGCTGAGCGTGTTTTCTACCTATTGAGCTTGTTTTGAGCTTACAGTCTGGTTGGGACACAAAACTGCCGTTATGAAGCACTATATATATATAAACAAATATGGGACAGTATCACTTAAATGTTGTATTGGGTGTTATGGATTTGGGGGTAAGGGTTGGTGTCTATGGTAGACAAACCCTGCTGTGAAAAATTTGAGATGACCAGTGCCTCTTCAGGCTTGAGCCATTCTTTTTCCTTTTGGCTTCTAACTCACTCCTTTTACGTATCCTGTGTTCACTCCTCAGCATATTTCCAGTCTTCCTCTTCTACTAATCAAAATCATTTTATGATTGATTGAGAATAAAAGGCTTTTTGCTTTATTGTAGGGATTCAGTCAACAGCAAGTGCTCGATATTGACTCACTGTCTATGGAAATAATTATACTGCTGGCTCTCTGTGGTGGTCCTTATGGTCCATACTAGCAAGTAAATTTAGATTGTTTCAAGACTGCATTATTAATTCTGAAATTCTTCGTCATTGGGTGGGTTTGCAAAGAAATACCTTCCTTTATAATTTATTTTATGCTTTCTAGTTAAAAAGTTATAGTGGGTTTTGGACATGCTAATGTTTAATTAACATGTGACTGGTAGAATGTTTAAAAAAGAAAAAAAATACTGAAGGATCTGGAAGAAAGAATTGATCTTAGTAGAAGGATCTGTAGGGAAAATATACAAGATAAGCAAAGCTGGTCACTTAGACAAGACCTAAAATCGGGTGCCTTTGGCCAAGGAGAGTTTATTTGGATAGACAGCCTGGGAAATTTACCGGAGAGATAACTTGGGGTGATCTAAGGAAGAATCAAAGCACGGTTTGGAGTTTTGGTAGGAACCAGTTTGTACCTGAATTTGAGAACTTACACCTAAAGCCCAACTAGGTGGGACAGATTATCTTTCACAGCTGAGAGGGAGGAAGTGAGCTAGCAGGGTTGGAAAAAGGCTGCTGTAAACACCTGATTGTATTTGAATTAAGTAACAACTGCCTGCATATCTCTAGTTTGAGGCTTTGCTCTCTGTAGGTGATTTTATCACAGCGGGCTGTTGAACAGGAAGGTTTCAAGAGCAAGGTAAAGGCAAGGGAATTCAATCTTAACATTCACAAGAACGTTTCTTAATTTATTGAATGGTGGCAATAGACACAACTTGGGAAGCTTCTCTTTGAGGATACCTTAAGCCAGTTTCAGCTGAGTCCAAGATAAACCTGCTTTTATTTTGATTTCTTCTCTTAACAACTTGAATCAGTCTTGTATTTTTCTGTTACTTTATCCTTAAGACTAAGGTCACCCTGTACTCTACTTTTCCAGTCGTTGGGTGAAGTCTCCACCGCACCTCCTTCTCCAGTGCATTGGTTCCCTCAGTTATATCCTCAGCATCCACCATTTTTTTAATCTCTCCCTCCATTGGCATCTTTCTCTCTGCCACTAAACAGACAAGTCTTCTCTTGCCCCCAAACTCCCCTTTTAGAAGATTTCATCTTTGTGATACAAGCATCCTTAGTAGTTAGAATCCTTTCACTTCTGCCCCCCACCCCGTTAGTCACCAAGCTTTACCAGTTTTTTCTCTTCTTTGTACAGTCTTGTCCTTTCTGTTTATTAATTTCACCCTAGGTGAGGCCGAGGCCTTCTTTACCTTCTGCTGGAACGGCCAAAAAAGCATCTTACATACATTTGCTTTTTCTAATCTCTTCCTTCAGACCCATCCTGTCATGAAACTTAGAATTTTAACCATGTCACATCTCCTTCAAGGAGTTCCCATTATCCACAGAAAAAATCCACCTCTACCTGGCTCCTTGCACTTCTTACCTTTCAAGCCTTACTTTTTTTTTTTTTTAAAAACCATATCCCTGACATATCCCCTCTCTGGGACAAATTTGTTTACAGCAGTTTGCCCCTCTGCCCCTAGTTGGCCCTTTCTCATCTCTATACATAGTTCATGTAGAGAAAAGAAAACCCGACTCATCTTCCCAAATCCAGTTCATAACTTATGTCCTCCCAAAAATCTTTTCTAACTCTTTAAGTGTGAAGTTGCTACTTGGATCCTTAAAACTCTTATAGACTAATTATCTGTAGAATTCCTTTGGTGATGAGACAAGTAATGTTTGTGACTTACGTGTTTTCCTGAATAATGATGTACATTTTATTTATTGTAGAGAGAGCAGTGGGGAGGGACTGAGGGAGAGGGTGGAGGGGAGAGAATCTCAAGCAGACTCTGCACTCAGCATGGAGCCCAATGCAGGGCTTGATCCCCCCACCCCGAGATCAGGACCTGAGCCAAAATCAAGAGTTGGACGCCCAACCTACTGAATCACCCAGGCGCCACAATTATTTACAATTTTAATTAATCTTGTCATAGTGTCTGTTTGCCCTTTCCAACAGTGTTATTGGCATTTTCAATAAATATTTAAGTATTTAGATATAATTTATGTACAGACATTTATAAAACTATTTAAATATAATTTACATACAAATATTTAAATATAAATATATTTAAAGAGGCTGCTTTGCCTTCTTCCACAACTGGCCTGGCATACTTTTTTTAGGTGCTCAAATACTATAATAAAATAGCTTGGATAAGGTCCCAGTGAGACCCTTCCTGGTGCTGAATTACCTGCTATGGTAGATAATGTCTTATTAAATTTTTGTAACAGAAAAACCCAGGTAGGGATACCTAGGTGGCTCAGTTGGTTAAGTGTCTGTCTTTAGCTCAGCTCATGTTCCCAGGATCCTGGGATTGAGTCCTGCATTGGGCTCCTTGCTCAGCGGAGAGACTGCTTCTCCCTCTGCCTGCAGCTCTCCCTGCTTGTGCATGCATGCACACACTGTCTCTGAGAAATAAAACCTTTTTTTTTCTTTTTAAGATTTTATTATTTATTCATGAGAGGGAGAGAGCAGAGGGAGAAGCAGGCTCCCCGCTGAGCAGGGAGCCCGATGTGGGACTCGATCCGAGGACCCCGGGATCATGACCCTAGCTGAAGGCAGATGCTTAACCATCTGAGCCACCCAGGTGCCCCTAAATAAAACCTTTTTAGAAAAATCCAGGTATTTGTAAAAATACAAGCCCTGTTTTGGTTTTGACGACCTTTTTAAGTTTTAATAGTATATTACTATATTAACATTTTTTACTTTTCACTGTGGGCAAAGGATCCTTGTTGATTCCATTGATTTACTTCTCATAAAGAAATATGTGTTGAGAAGTTCACTAATCTGTTTAATCTGGCTGTTCTGCAGATCCTGTCTACCTTTCATGACCAACTATAGTTTTCACTGCAATGTGTGCCATCATAGTGGGAATACCTATTTCCTCCGGAAGCAAGCAAGTAAGAACAAACTATGGAGTGCTGCAAAATTGTCCTCTGTTAGCTGCAAAAGAAAAGGGATTTGGACATAGCAGAATCAGGAAACCTCTGACTGGTAGCTGGTAGAAGTTCGGGTTTAGCTCCGAATAATGGCTATTATCCATTTCAGATCAATGATGACTCTACTTTTTGCTGCTGTAATTGTTAGTTTGTGGACCACCTAGTTGAATATTCTTTTGGTAATAGGGATATAATACTACAGATAACTTTTTGTCTTTGTTTTTGTTTTTGCTAGACTTGAAGGAAATGTGCCTTAGTGCTTTGGCCAATCTAACATGGCAGTCCCGAACACAGGATGAACATCCGAAAACCATGTTCTCCAAAGATAAGGTAGAGAAGAAATTAATGTAATTGCAATTATGCCCAAGAATCAGGTGGAACTTTTTTTTTTTAGCATTTTTTTTTAAGATTTTATTTATTTAATTGACACAGAGAGAGAGACAGCGAGAGAGGGAACACAAGCAGGGGGAGGGTCAGAGGGAGAAGCAGGCTTCCCGCGGAGCAGGGAGCCTGATGCGGGGCTCGATCCCAGGACCCTGAGATCATGACCTGAGCTGAAGGCAGTCGCTTAACCAACTGAGCCACCCAGGCGCCCCTCAGGTGGAACTTTTAAATATACTTTTCAACAATAAGTACTTTCCCCCCAATTTTTATGAATATATGACTATAGATTCAGTGGTTATGTGTTACTTATTTCATGTGATTTACTAACTTCTTGAATGTGCATAGTATGTCACTTGGCTTAGCTGTTAGTTGGATGAATCCTTGAATAGTTTTGGTTGGCTTTATAGAAGCAAACAACTGTCTGTCCCACAATTAATCAGATCTTGAGGTGGACCTTCTCAGCAGCTCAGTTTAGCTATTTTTACAGATGGTTATTACAGATTTTGTCAGAGGGAAGGGGTTGAATTTATTTAAACGAATTATCCTTTATTATTAAACTGAACAACCACATGACCAAAGTCAGGAATCAAAATTAGATGATTAGCCCATCCATCAGTTTTTCCTACTGTGATTCATGGTAAGAAATTAAGTAAATTTTAAAACAGTGGAGTTTATATTGTGCCTAATGTACATTTATACCTACCCCCGTTCATTTAAAACTGAAACAAAAATTTCACCAGTGCTTACTCTCCAATCTTTTTCCTCTGTACTCTGTTATTTTCTATTTTAGTCAGTGCTAGTTTTGACCTACAAAATTGATTTTATAACCTACTAATTGTGATCTACAGTTTGAAAGACACTGGTATGGGTGTGTCTGGTGAGACCAATATAGTTGGGATCAGATCTGCAAGGGATATTCTACTGAACAGAAGTTAGGACTTAATCTTGCAGGCAGTCAGCAGATGGCCCCCTCACCTTTTTATTCCTGCATTAGAGGTGTGCTGTGATTAGATTTGGTTTTTTTCTTATTTTTTCCCCCAAATTATTATTTTGAATTTTTCAAACATATAGAAAAATTCAGATAGTACAGTGAACATCTGTTTATTCTTTACCTAAATTTGCCAGTTGTTAATATTTTATTGCATTTGCTTTATCACCCAGTGTCTGTTTTTTCTCCCTGAGCTATATGAGACTGAATTGAACACTATACCCAGTATTCTCTCATAACCACAATACAGTGATCATACTCAGAAAATTTAATGTTGATGTATACTAATATATGCAAATTTTATTTTTTATATAAAGTGTATAACTGTGTTTTCTCACTGTTATTCTTAATATCCTTCATAGCTTTTTCCTCCATCTAGGATCCAGGCAAGGGTACACATTACATTTAGTTGTAATGTCTCTCTCTCTCTCTCTCTCTCTCTCTCTCTCTCTCTCTCTCTTTCTTTCTTTCTTTCTTTCTTTCTTTCTTTCTTTTTCTCACAACCCTGAGATCAGGAGTCACATGCTCTCCCCACTGAGCCAGCCAGGTGTCCGTGTAATGTCTTTTTTGTCTTTAATCTAAAACAGTTTCTGAACTTATTTTACTTTTTTTTTGGTCTGCTATGGCATACATTTGTTATGTACATACCCCACCCAATGTGGGGTTCCAGCTCATGACCCCGAGATTAAGAGTTGCATACTCCTCTGACTTGAGCCAGCCAGGCGCCGCGGTCTGCTATGACATTAAAATTTTGAGGAGCCTAGACAGTTGTTTGGCATGATCCTCCTCAATCTGCATTTATCTGATTGTTTCCTCATGATTGAGCTCAGGTTAAACTTTTTTTTTTAGAGAGGGAGGGGAGAGGGGGCTGGAGGGGCAGCAGGAGAGGAAGAGAGACTCTCAAGCAGACTCCACACCAGTGCAGAGCCCGATGCCCGATCTCACAACCCTGAGATCATGACCTAAGCCAAAATCAAGAGTCAGATGCTTAACCAACTTAAACATTTTTGGCAAGAATATTATGTAGATATTGTATATTTTCCTTGTATCACATCAGGAGGCATAAAATATTAGTTTGTTTTACTATTAGTAGTCCTAAATTTGGTTGCTTGGGTAAAGAGGAGGTATCACCAGATTTCTCCATTGTAAAGGGACATATATGTCTGTCCCTTTACAATGCATTGAGATTGTCTGACTGTCTTGTTCAAACCCTTTCAAGCAGTGGTTTTAGCAACCACTGATTATCCTAGCCTGAATCAGGTTAATAGAGTAATCATTGTGAAAAAGAATACATTTGTTGCTTGCAGTTCTGTAAAAAGGGGTTTTCCTTTCCATACTTTTTTTTCTTTCTGAGTATCACTGCGGATTTGTGGATTTTTATAGTCTGTTACTGGATTTCTGATTTCTGGTGCTCAGATTTGACCAGCGTAGCCCCATTTAGGCTGACTCCTGATACTTTGTGATATGTCCCTATCAGTTTTTGAACTCTTTCTTACTTTCTGGAACAACAGAATATTCCAGACTTCCTTTCGACTTTCCCTGATTCGACCCTGGTTCCTTTTATTTAATTTATTTATTTATTTTAAAGATATTATTTTTAAGTAATCTCTACACCCAACATATGGGGCTTGAATTTACAATCCCAAGATCAAGAAGCACACACTCTACTGACTGAGCCAGCCAGGCGCCCCAGCCCTGGTTCCTTTTAGTAAAGATTTGGTTTTCATGGAACTAACTAGTGGAAGGTATTAGTGGTAGACTCTGACTCTGGTGGACTTGGGAAGGATGGTGAGAGTAGGGGAAGGTCGACGTCAGAAGATCAAACTCATATATTTTTAGTCACACCAGCAAGAACTGGCAAGGACCACAATCGAAGCAGCAAGGATAGAAAGGAGGCCGGATTGGTGAGAAATTTCTGAAATCTGAAAATTCATTTGGTGTTGGTTTAGATGTGAAAGTCATACACAAGAGAGGAATCAAAGATGACTCCATGGTTTCGGGCTTGTGGTTCTAGGTGATAGGTGATTCTGAGCATTAAGAGCAAGAATAGGAATCGGCAGAGCAGGTTTGTGAGGTCGGATACAAAGTTTAGTTTTTTTGTGGTGTTTTGTTTTTAGAGGGTGGGGGTGAAGTGCAGAGGAAGAGGGAGAGAGAGAATCTTAAGCAGGCTCCATACCCTGGATCTGGATGCGGGGCTCAGTCTCATGACCCTGAGATCATGACCTGAGCCAAAACTAAGAGTCAGACGCTTAACCAACTGAACCACCCAGGTGCCCCCCAAAGTTTAATTTTCTTACAAGAAGTTTGAGGTGCCTGTGGGGTGTCCACAAAGGGATGTCGGAAGCAGGTAGAAATAGGAACTCAGGAGAGAGAATGATTTGGTAGTATTTTCCAAATGGCACCCAGAAGAATGGGGTAGATCTTTCCCTCCAACTGGATTGTAAGCCTTATGTAGCTAAGATTTGTATATACTTATTTGAAATTCCTCACAATCTATATGTTGTTTGCATGCAATTACATGTTTGTTTAATCGTGAAAAGACTAAACATGGATTTTTCTCTCAATTCTGACAAGGTCTTTGAAAATGCTGCAGTTTTCTTTCCTTTTTTGTGAGTATAACTTTGAAAGCAACTGTAGAAATCTTAATATATTTTGTTTTAAAAATTAGGATATCATACCATTTATTGATAAATACTGGGAGTGCATGACGACCAGACAGAGACCTGGGAAAATGACTTGGCCAAATAACATTGTTAAAACAATGGTGAGTAGACCAAAATGATTAGACTCAACATTTCGAAAGTCAGTGTTCTTTGTAAGAATTAAATTTGTTTTAGTCTCACTGAAATAATGTGATGACTAAGAAAATGACAACTTAGTTTTAAATCTTGGAGAGTAAGGTATCACTAATTGTAAATTTTAACAGGTTTCACACGTCACAAATTATGTCTAAAGTGAATATCACCCTGGTTGTTTTATACACAACACTGATACCTTTGTCCACTGTACTTTTGCAAGTATAATTTTATATTGACATTGCAGACTATTTTTTCCTTTGCTTTAAAAACAAAAATAACACTGTTCTAAACATTATTGTCCTTAGAATTAAAGAGAGCACCTGGGGAGAAGCCAGCAGCAAGCTGTTAACAGTGCTTATCTCTGTGAGGTGGAGGGATAGGTGAGGATTCCGAAGGACTTTGGCTCTCATTTTTTCAAGTTTCTCTGTTTGAATTTTTGGATGGTCATGTATTAATTTTCTAATCAGAGGGAAAAGCAATACTATCATTTTGGGAGATTACACTTAGGAATTGGAGTTGCTGGTTGATCATCCATTCAGTACTACTTTGAAGTATAAAATTTGCAGTAACACTAAAATACTGCTTCCTTTTAGAGTAAAGAAAGAGATGTATTCTTAGTAAAGGAACATCCTGATCCCGGGAGTAAGGACCCAGAAGAAGATTACCCCAAATTTGGACTTTTGGATCAGGTATTTTGTACTCCCCTTTTGATTTGGAGACAGAGAATCAGGTTTTGTTAACATTTGTCTATTTGCCACTGCCATTACAGGCCTCTAACATGGTGGGCTGCAGGTAAAGTGTTTCTGCTGTGTGTGGAAAGAAAGAGTCCTCACCTTAAACCAGGAGACTAGTGTTTTAGTTCTGGATCTTCCCCTTAATGTTATAACTCTGTGCATATCCTTTTTATCTTTTTTAACTTTAATTTCGTCCCTTATAACGTAAATAGGCTGTGCCGAGTTATTTCTGATTTTCTTTCCATTTCAAAGTTTACTCTTAAAAACATTTGTTATTATGAAGAAAAATTTGTGTGAATTAGAATTTGTGTTGTGTATCTAGCATAAAAGGACGAAAAAGAAAATTTCCACTCTTTGTTTATGGCAGGGGTTACATTTGGCATGTCAGGAGGCCAGAGCTTTTAGCTTTGCCTTAAAATGTTTGATCTGCCAGCATTGAAAATTCAGGGTTTCACATAGAAGTGTTACTGTACAAGGGTCGATTGCCCAATGATGCACAGTAAGCCAAACACTGACAACAGTTTTGTAGCAGAGAAAAAGGGTTTTATTGCAGGGTTCCAAGCAAGAAGACGGGAGAAAATTTTTCAAATCCGCCTTCTCAAAGGATAGGGGTTGGGTTTATTTAACCATAAGGAGACAGGATATCATGGGGTGGTGTGAGCTTGAATGGAAAATGCTGATTGGATATAGGGACAAAAAGAGATGCGCATTTAAGGATCAGTCCTCTTTATGGGACAGTGCTCAAAATGGCAGCATAAGGATGATGGAGTGGGGGGGATGGGGGGGTGGTGTTTTGTTTTTTGTTTACTCTTGGTCCCTTCTGCAAAGTTGCAGGAATTCCCTATTCCAGTCTTAGCTAGTCTTGTCCTTAGTCAGCTTCTGCAAAACAGGTTCATAAATCAATCAGGTTAGCCAGAGTTTTCTTAGGGTAGATGAGTCAAGCATTTGTTAACTTAATATACTGGTTTTAGAAATTCAGATTTCTCTTCTAAAATGAGAAGATCTGATTACAATGGGCCTGAGTTCCCACGGGGAGCTCAGAAAATGGGGTTAGGCACTCCTATTTGCCTTTGCCCCTTCCACCACCCCACCCCCAATTTGTTCTTAACCACTTTGATTCTTACACTTGTCCCACACATGTTATTTGCTGATCTCTGAAGCATCCAAGTTTGGGACCCTGTAAATTTCATACTCCCTAGGGTTGTCAGTTTTGATTCACACTCTATTAGAATTTCTTGGTTTTTTGAGCATTGCCAGAGTGCTTTGATTATATAGCCTTCCTTTGTAATTGAATATATTTTTCCCTCTAGGATCTTAGTAACATTGGTCCTGCTTATGACAACCAAAAACAAAGCAGTGCTGTGTCTACAAGTGGGAATCTAAATGGTAAGTGTTTAAATGTCGCCTTGATGAAATATTTGTTAAGCTATTGAATCCAAATATGCCTAGAATTGGGCATCCTTTGGGTTGACTCTCAACTGGATATTTACGGAGGCTTTAAAGTACAGAACTCAGTTTTTGGAAGCTAACCAAAGATTTGACAGATGGTAGTGGAGAACTTTTTGTCCCTTTACCACCACAGTTTGGTCTCAAGTGAAACATTTAGCATAAAACAAGGTACAGGTTTAAGGTCAGATTTACTATGTTTATCTTAGACTCCCTGTCTGTATGTCTGTATCCTCATCACTTAACCCTTACTGTAGATTCAGCTCTCTGTTCTTACTCCTAATTCAGCTGTTATTTAATAGAGTTCCTATGCCGGTCTTCTAATTTGTCTTGCCCTGAAACTTTAGCTTATTCCCATGACAGCAATCTGTGCTGATTACCCGCTATAGATGTGTTTCTATCGGTAACTCACCTAATGACAGGAATGGCCTTCAGTACTAATGGTGATCTAATGAAAGATCGGGTAGCTGGGAGGTAGCTAGCTATTCCTCTAACACATGGTGTCATTAACTTGTCCTATAGAGTGGTAACATCTTAAATATGTAATCATTTCTACTGTTACTAATATTCTCAGATGGGTTGGAAATAGCTAAGTGTATTATTTATCTTTTTACACCATTTTTTCCTGTTTTAATTGTTACAATTTGACAAATACATGGTGCCACTTCTGTTCTTACAGGTGGAGCCTCTTTTGGAGGTGAATTCCTCCTCTGTCTTCTTTCAGCCTCTCAGACTTAAGTATTATGTGGTTTGGAAAATGCTTTTTGCTGAGTTGTGGTAGAAGCTAAAACTAAATTAAAATTTTAAAGCATCGTGAAAATGGTGGCAATAGCACTTGCTATGAAACTGTAGTTCCAGTTGAATGTTAGTAAATTCAAAGCTTATCCGTTGTCATATTCTGCCTAACATGGCCAGCAGTCCCTTTAGTATTACTTGTTTTATTCCAGGTAGATCTAAAGCTTCTCTCTTAAAGTAATTAAAATACAAATATCAATTAAAAATAATTTTTTTAGGTAACTCAAGCTAGAGATAATGGATGTTGCAACAGTTTAACATTAAACCTTTTTATGAAAAATAGGAATGATATGTGCTATGTTCATAAAAGGTAGTTCTGCATAAATCTGGTCCTGTATGTGCAGAATATGACCTGCTCTCAATGTCTTGATCCTTTTCATTGCAGAAGAACTGCTGATAATTTCCAAGCTTGCCCCAAATTAAGATACAGTACTTTATGCAGTTGTTTCCATAAAGGTGTTTTCCTGCAGTTCAGGGACATTTTTCTGGCAGACAGAAAAACAAATTGAGAGGAAAGACGGAACTGGACAAAAATTTCAAAGTACCTATTTCAGAAATCACTAGGTAGTATTCCTTGTGGCTTAGTATGTAACTAAATTATTTTTTGTATAACATAAGTAAATTGTCGATTGATATTTGCTCATAATTCCACAAACTAGGTTAGTCTAACCTGAATTTTATGCATTGGCATGATCTTAATAATTGTAAAAGTTGCCTACTAAATTTAAAACCTTTCTACTTGTGTCATGCACAACCAGAGTGGATACCTAGTAGCACTGGAGAGAAACACCTTTTTAGTATTTCTGTTTCTGTTTTCTGTGTTTTTATGTACCTTTGTCTTGTTGGATCTTCCAGTTAAGTGCTTTAGCAGATAATGTGCCTTTATTATGTTATGGACTATATCATGCATAGTTCAAGCGAGTGAACATCTACTTATAGTGAGGATATTCTTTGTGGATGTTTGATTGATTTGAGTGGAAAAAAATTTTATCCTTGCAATTGTTTTTAGATGTGGGTATTTGGAATCTGAATGAGTGAAAATGCATTTGTGTCACATCCTCGGAAAGTGTACTAGTCATTGCAGTTCATTAGGAAAGGAAGGTTGAAAATGTAACGTAGGCATCATTAGTGCTAGGTTCCTTGGAGCTTACTGCCAGAACCCAGTGTTCTGAGCTGGGAGACGCTCAGCCGACTCTTTCAGAAGCAGGGTGAGATCCAATATGCTCTCAGGAAGTCCTCCTGTGTGTGGTGTTACACAAATGCACGTCAGGAGTGTTAGTCGCCATGGAATTTCCATATCCACGTGAAGCTTCTATCACAGCTCATTGAGAGTGATCTGCCTTCTCTTCAAAGGGGGAATTGCAGCAGGAAGCAGTGGAAAAGGAAGAGGAGCCAAGCGCAAGCAGCAGGACGGAGGGACCACAGGGACCACCAAGAAGGCCCGGAGGTGGGCAGAACACCCACTCCCACTCACCACTGCTAGACCATTCTTTGGTGCTGGCACAGTCCATCAGAGGGAAAAGAGCTGTACTCTTCACTAGCTCAGGTGTCTGAGATTACAAAGCCTGTCCATTTTTTTCAAATCTTGAGCACTTTGAGGGGTAAAATAATCTCAGGCGAGGAATCCCGTTTTATGGATTTGTGAAAACAGCCCCAGGGTGGCAACCCTGTGAGAGTAAAAATCTGTTAAGACATCTTGAGAAAGGAGAGGTGGAGAGGGAGAGTGGACCCAGTATTGAACTTGAGCGCTGGCCTCTTCCCTTTGCTTTGTTCAGTAAAACTTGTTTTTTTCTTATTTAAATTGGCAAGATAGTAAGTGCTCAAATCTCTGAGTTTCATTTCATTAGTTTATAGTAATTAATATACTAAAGGAAATTGCCCTTGTTCCCCTTCTCCCTTTTTCTCCCCTATGACATATTGGCTCCGTTGCAAAGGTAGTCCTGCAGACTAGGGAGTAATTTGACTGAAACCACTTTACCAAATTTAAAAATGAATCCGTTTCATTTCCCTGTTTTGCCTGCAGAGGGCAGGATCATCTGTTTGAGCAATGAAAAGCAGTTGTGAAGTTGCATGTGTTCCTGTTGAAATCTAATAAATCAGATGTCCTTCTTACAGATTTGAAGGCATTTGAGCTGGAAGGGGTTTTAGTTTCTTGATTTTATTTTTTCCTTTCTGCAGTGACCCTTTGTTTTCTGCTCAGCGCCTTCCCCCTCATGGCTACCCCTTGGAACACCCGTTTAACAAAGATGGCTATCGGTATATTCTAGCTGAGCCTGATCCCCATGCCCCTGACCCTGAGAAGCTTGAACTTGACTGCTGGGCAGGAAAACCTATTCCTGGAGACCTCTACAGAGCCTGCTTGTATGAACGTGTTTTGTTAGCCCTACATGATCGAGGTATGTAAGGTATTAATGTTCATGTTGGACCCAGATGTTACTTTGAATACTGTCTTCACCTTTGTCCAGTCTAGAATTAGATACACATGTCAACATCTCCCCTCTCCCCCTTTTCTAACTAGACTCAGCAGGAACGTGCACAAAGAATCCCCTTGTCTCTTCCATTAAGCTCTAGCCGTTTGTGTGTGTATGTGTGTGTGTGTGTGTGTGAGTATGTGTATGTTTTTAAGACTTTCTATTTGGAACTTATTTTATTTTTATTTTTTAAGTAACCTCTACACCCAACGTGGGGCTCAAACTTAAAACCCCAAGATCAGGAGTTGCATGCTGTACCGACTGAGCCAGCCAGATGCCCCTATTTTGAACTAATTTTAAATTTAAAGTTATAAAAATAATAGTTTTACTATATCCCTCCCCAAGCTTCTAATGCTAACATCTTACACGATTGATAGTAGGGTTATCAAAACCAGGAAGTTAACATTGGAATATGCTATTAATGAAACAAAACACTTGATGTACATTTCGCCAGTTCCCCACTAACACCTCTTCTCTAGGGTCTCACGTTGCACTTCATTATTTCTCCTTAGTCTCTTGCAGCCTTTAACAGTTCCTCAGTCCTTGCGTGTCTTTCATGACTATTTAAGTGTATTAATCAGGGATTCTGTTGAATATTCCTCAGTAAGTGTCTAACTTTTTCTCGTGATTAGACTGATGTTATGCATATTTTGGCAGAATACCAAAGATATGAGTCCTCATTACATCTCATGGCGGTCATGATGTGGATATGTCTTATTATTGGTCATGTTGACCATGATTATCTGGTTAAGGTGGTTTCTGTGGCTTTCTCTGTCTTTCCCTTTGTAGTTAATAAATAGCTCGAGGAAAGATGCTTTGAGCTTTGGAGATACCCTGTTTATAAAGTTTTGCTCTAGTATTCTTCAGTGGATCTTTTCTGCAACAGTTTTTTTTTAAAGATTCTATTTATTTGAGAGAGAGAGAACACAAAGCACGGGGGAGGGCAGACGGAGAGGGAGAAGCAGACTCCGCGTTGAGCAGGGAGCCCGACACAGGACTCAATCCCAGGACCCCGAGATCATGACCTGAGCCAAAGGTAGATGCCTAGTTGACCGAGTCACCCAGGTGCCCCTGCAATAATTATTAATGTGTTGTGTTTGCCTGACGATTTTTTATTTCTTTCTTCCTGTCTCCACTTGTTTTTTGATCGATTTTTGCTTTTATCAGTGTGAATTCAGATATTTATTTTATTCCATTGGGGTATACTTTGTCTAGTTGCTCAAATTATTCCAGCTTAGGCCATTGTGAGCTTCTTTAGGTTAGTTCCTGTGTTTTTTTGATAAGTCTCTTTTTTTTTTTTTTTTTATTTTTTTTTTTTTGTTATTTTACTTTCTGGCATCACAAAATGTTCTGGCTTATCTTGTATTTTCCCTGCCCTAGGCCAAGTATCAGCTGCTTCTCCGAAGACCCCTGGTTCCTTTGATTGGAGAATGAGATTTTGAAATAAAGACCTAAGTGTTAGGTATGCTCACTGGGTGTCTCTTTTAAACTCCTTCAGTGGCCAGAAGGAGGAGATTGTATGTATACCAACTGACACATATATATACACAAGGTTCTACTGTGTTTGCACTGATAGCTTGGATTCCAGTCAAACACTCCTGGTTTGTTCCAGCCCTCTGCCTTTCCTTATTTGTCACTTCTTTATCCAACAATGAGAAACGTGGCTCTGTCTACGGTGTATTCTCTTATTTGTTCATTTCTAGTATGCCCATAAAGTAGTTTCAGAATTGCTGACCTCTGTGAGAAACATTCACTAGCTAGCTTACAGCAGTTACGTCAAGCTCTTTGGCTTTTAGTCTTGCAGCATCCCATTAGGTTACTGTTAGATTAGTTCTCTTCCCCACCTCCTTCAGGGTGGTTGTGTATCTCATTTATAATAGGTTCATTGGTTAGTGTTTGTATGCTTTTTTTGGGTTCTCCCACCTCTTGGGGGGTGGGGGGGGGGAGAGAGAGAGAGAGAGAGAGAGAGAGAGAGAGAGAGAGTGTGTGTGTGTGTGTGTGTGTGTGTGTGTGTGTGTGTGTGTGTTTCAGGGGAGTACATGAAGGGTCTGTGAGTTCCAGAAGTTTAAAGTTGTACAAGAAGGTTAACTCAGGGCACCTGGGTGGCTCAGTTGGTCAAGCATCTGCCTTTGGCTCAGGTCATGATCCCGGGGTCCTGGGATCGAGCCCTGTGCTGGGGTTCCCTGCTCAGTGGGGAGTCTGCTTGTCTCTCTCCTCTGCCCCTGCTCGTGTTCTCTCTCTTAAATAAATAAATAAAATCTTTAAAATATGTATATATAACCATTATACAATTATTATTCCTAACTAAGATGAATAATAATTCCTTAATGATCTAATATCCGGTCCATACTCACATTTCCATGGTTTAAGATATGCCTTTTAGTTGTTTCTTTGAATTAGATCTAAATAGGTCATATATTTACTGCATTTGAAAGCCCATTATTTCTTGGTTTAATGCTAAAAACAAACACTTGTAGGGGTACCTGCCTGGCTCAGTCGGTAGAGCCTCTGACTCTTGATCTTCGGGTTGTGAGTTCGAGTCCCGTGTTGGGTATAAAGATGACTTAAAAAAATCTAATCAAATCAAAAAACTATCAGTTACATTGATGCTGGTCATTTGGAAGTGAAGTAAATGTCCATTATATGTAGATCGTTTGACTTCTGGTAGTGACAAGCATACTTTGATAGTAGGGAAGCCCAAATAAGTGACTTCAGGGTTTAAGAAGTGAGACTTGTCTTGTTTCACTATACATAATAGTTATAATGCCAGGAGAAAAAAAGAACACTGGCCCGTAGTAGTTAATTAATTTGTTAGAATTTAATGTATAAAATAGTAATGGCTGCTTGCTGTTTATTCTATTTATGCTGAGCCTTACAAAAATTAATGATAAATCTGTATTGTATCTTTTAAGGTTTTTATTTTGAAATAATTTCAGATGTATAAAAAAGTGTAAGAATAGTACTGAACTTTTTTTTTCTCTGAACCATTTGAGAGTAAGTTGCCGTGATGCCCCCTCATTTTTGAGAACTTGATGGTGTATTTCTTACAAGCAAGGATGGTCCCCTTGTGTTAGTTATTTAGTGCTGCTTACCACATTACCATAAAACTTAGCAGTCTAAAACTACAAATGTTCATTATCTCCCACAGATTTTGAGGGTTGGGAATCTGGGAGCAGCTTAGCTATGTGGCTTGGCTCAGGAGAATTTATGCGGCTGCAGTCAAGCTCTTAGCTGGGCCTCTCGACTCTGAGGACTTGATAGAGGCTGGAGGACTTATTTCCAAGATGGCTCACTCATGTCACTTTGACAGGATGCACTCAGATCCTGACCATGTGGGCCTCTCCATAGGCTACTTATTTATCCTCATCCATGGAAGCTAACTCCTCCCAGTGCAAGTGATCCAAGAGAGCAATAGAGTTTGAGTATCATCTGTGACCCAACTTTGAAGCTGGATAGTTGCTTCAACTTTGTTTTGTTAGGAATGAGTCACTACGTTCGGCCCACACTCAGGTGGAGGGAAATTAGGCTCCATGTCTTCAAAGGAAGAGTATCAAAGAGTTAGTGGATATTTTTTAAACTTTCGCATTGGTACAGAACCAGTATATAACCATCAAAGACAGGAAATTAACACTAATTGCTACCATCTGATGCTCTTCAGATCCTATTCAAGTTTCTCCAGTTGGTGTAATAATGTCATTATAGCAAAGGATCCCATTGAGAATCATTTGCTGCATTTAGCTGTCTTGTCTCTTAAGTCTTCAATCTGGAACAGTTTTTCTATCTTTCCTAGACTGATGACCTTGAAGCTTTTGAAAATGAGAGGCCACTTATTTTATAGACTATCCTGCAATTTGAGCTTGTCTGGTTGAAATCTCAGGATTCGATTCAATTCTGCATCTTTGACAGAAATATCATTAAAATGATGTGATGTTCTTCATGTTGCATCCTGTCAGGTGGTATGTGATTTTAGTTTGTCCGATTCCTGATGATGTCCACTTTGATCATTTAGCTAATGTGGTATCTGCCGGGTTTATCCCCTGAAAAGTTAGTTTTTCCGCCCTATGTAATTAATAAGTATTTTAGGAGGAGGTACACTCTTTACTGTCCTAGTCTGTCCTGGACACTTGCCTTGCTCAGTCCCCACCTAGTGGCTTTAGGGCTGAATTGCCCAGGGAGGGGTAAGGGAAAAAGCATTTGTATTTGAGAAGGTAGAATTTGCCAAATACCTAAGAGAATTCTGCTAAACAGCATGTAATCCATTGAAAGAAGTTACCATCATATCTGCCTAGGACATGAGCCATTATGGTCTGTGTAACCAAAAGAATGGGGGGCCAGGGCTTTTCAGTCAGCCGTGCCACACTGAGCTGCGGTATGACCTTGAACAGTCACAGAATCGGCTGCTCCGTCTGCAGGGTAGAAAGGGTCAGAGTCTGTCTACCTACCTATCTACCTGTGAAAGTACATTGTAAATCATAAAGACCTTTATAAAAGCTATAGCTAATATAAATTTTGTGCTTCTTCCAGTAGAATTTAGGCTTTTAGTGTTACAAACACGGTTTCAAATGCTTTTTCCTCAATTAAGTCTTAATTGGGACTGTGATGTTTCTACATTGATAAAATCAAACTACATCACCTGAAAATACTCTCCTATCTTTTGTCATTTTTTTCTTCATTTCCAAGTCACGATATCCCCTCCAACTGATTTAGATTGTTCCCTTATCTTACATAATGGCCTCACAGTAAAGTTTCAAACCATACACAAAGGTAGAGAGATGAATACAATGAATCTTCATATACTTTTCACCCACATTTAGCAGTTACCAAGTTTTGGCTGTATTTGTTTTATCTGTTTATTTTTGTGTCTTTTTCTGAATTTTTAAGAAGTAAATCTCACCCTACATACTCTAAAAAATATGCATTTCTAAAAGATAGGGATGTTTTCTCTCACAACCACAAAGGTATTATCACACTTCACAAAATTGATCATTCCTTGCTATCATCTGAATTCAGTCCATAATCAGATTTCGTTGATTGTGTCAGATATCTTTGTATCTCCCCCACAAAATGCTTATCAATTACAAAGAGAAAATAGTGACTTCATAGTGGAGAAACCAGTGAGGCACCACGGTAGTCAAGTGATCAAAGTGTAACATGGGCATTTTGACATCATGTGCTTCCTGATACTATACACTGAGAGACACAGCATTATTTACTTCACTGATGTTCCTGACGAAAAAGCATAACCTGTGCTTGAGCAGGAGGAAACCTCAGACAAACCTAACTGAGGGATATTCTACAAAGGAAAGTGACCAGTACTCTTTAAAATGTCATGGTCAGGGCGCCTGGGTGGCTCAGTTGTTAAGCATCTGCCTTTGGCTCAGGTTATGATCCCCGGGTCCTGGGATCGAGCCCCGCGTCAGGCTCCCTACTTGGCAGGAAGCCTGCTTCTCCCTCTCCCACTCCCCCTGCTTGTGTTCCTGCTCTCGCTATCTCTCTGTCAAAAAAAAAAAAAAAAAAGTCATGGTCATGAAAGACTTAACTGTCCCAGATTGGAGGATACTAAGGACACACAACCAAATGAAGTGTGGGATGTTGGATTAGATCCTGGAACAGAAAAAGGATATTATTTGGATAATTGGCTTAATTTGAAGATAATCTGTAGATTGGTTAGTAGCATTGTACCAATGCCAATTTTCTGATTTTGATAATTGTGTTATGGCCATAGATGGTGTTAACATTTAGGGAAGCCGATGGGGCGCCTGGGTGGCTCAGTTGGTTAAGCAACTGCCTTCAGCTCAGGTCATGATCCTGGAGTCCCGGGATCGAGTCCCACATCGGGCTCCCTGCTCAGCAGGGAGTCTGCTTCTCCCTCTGACCCTCTTCCCTCTCGTGCTCTCTATCTCTCATTCTCTCTCTCAAATAAATAAAATCTAAAAAAAGGAAAAACATTTAGGGAAGCCGAGTGAAGGACATAGGAGGAATGTATATTATTTTTGGAAGTTTAAAATTGTTTCAAAATTAAATATCAAGTCTGTTAAAGGATGGCTTATACAGGGGCACCTGGCTGGCTCAGTAGGTAGAGCATGCAACTTGATTCCAGGGTTATGAGTTCAAGCCCCACATTGGGTGGAAAACTTAATTTAAAAAGAAAGAAAGAGAAAAAAGATGGTTTATACAAATTGGGATCCAAGCACATTATAATTGGTTTGTTATATTTTAGGGAATATAGACAGCATAACTAATTTTAACCTGCTAACTTAAATATCATTTAATAGAAACTAAATTATCTGACCACTTTCTTCCCGTTTCTTCCTCTCGCCCTCGGCCACATCCTACACTGAGATTTTGAAACTCCTGAACTAATACTCCAGATTCCTGACCTGATGTTGCCAATTTTTTACTTTGTTTTACTGGAGTGTAGGAGACTCCGGTTTGGGGGGGCAGTTGTGTCCGAGTGCCTCCAGCAAGTTGCAGGCCTCCGTTTTCATCTTCATACTGTAGCTCCCCAGCTAAAGATCTCCGATGACCGGCTCACTGTGGTTGGAGAGAAGGGCTACTCCATGGTCCGGGCTTCTCATGGGGTCCGGAAAGGCGCCTGGTACTTTGAAATCACAGTGGATGAGATGCCGCCGGACACTGCTGCCAGACTGGGGTGGTCCCAACCCTTAGGTAAGTGGGAGCTGTCGGGCAGAGAGGTATAGACCATCTGGCTGAGCTTCGTAGCTTTTCTTTGGGCTTATTGGATTATGGGCATAAAATTCACTTTCTGAAGGATTGGGTGGTTTACAATTTTGTAAAACTGACCAAAAAATGAAAAGGAATAAAATTTTTTCTTTCAGCAAACCGGAGTTGGTTTGCAATCTTTTGACTTCCTGTATATTTTTTTATTGGAACAGGTAACCTTCAAGCTCCCTTAGGTTATGATAAATTTAGCTATTCGTGGCGGAGCAAAAAAGGAACCAAGTTCCACCAGTCAATTGGCAAACACTACTCTTCTGGCTATGGACAGGGAGACGTCCTGGGATTCTATATCAATCTTCCTGAAGACACAGAGACAGCCAAGTCACTGCCTGATACTTATAAAGATAAGGTGAGTTTGTCGTCCTGGGGGACTTTTGGGTTTGAAGACCCGTGGCAGCCAATGAATGCCTGCAGTGGTGGCCTGAGTGTTCTCTGGTCATGCTGACCTACCATTCACATGTTTTTCTCACATTTCATTCTGAAAATGTTTAGACATAAAAAAGTTGAAAGAATTTTAAAGTCCGTGTACAAATACCCATCACCTAGATTCTGCCATTTGTTCATTCCTCCACCCACCCATCTGTCCGTCCATCTTGTTCGTCTTGTTCTAATGCGCTTCAGAGAATGCTAGATATCAATATACCTCACCCCTGCCCATGTACTTCAGGATACACATAATTAGCTAGAGTTCAACCTTTATTTAGTTTCTTCTTTTGCTATAAGACTTACATAAAATGAAATGTACAAATTTTAAGTGTATATTCACTGAGTTTTGAGTTTGGCCTAAATCCCTAAGGAGACGTTAGAATCTTAACCACCCCAGGAAGTTCCCTCATGCTCTTCCCAATCAGTCCCAACTCCCATCCCTATAGAGCCAACCACTGTCTTGAAATTTTTTTTCCCTGTCGTAATTTTATTCCATTAGTTTTGTTTGTTCTTAAACTTAAGTAGATGGAACCATATACTATGTCGTCTTTTGTATCTGGCTTTTATTGTTTGGCTTAATGCTTTTGAGATTCGTTTATGTTTTTGCATGTATCTGTAGCTTGTTTCCTTTTATTGTAGAGTAGTATTCCATTGTATGAATACACCACAGTGTATTTATCCATTTTCCTATTTTTTTAATATTTTTAAATTCCAGTATAAATAACATACAGTGTTATATTTGTTTCAAGTGTGTGATAAAGTGATTCAACAATTCCATATGTTATTTGTTGCTCATCATGATAAGTGTGCTTTTAATACCCTTCACATATTTCATGCATCCCTCCCACCCACCTCCCCTGTGGTAACCACCAGTTTGTTCTCTATTGTTGAGTCTGTTTTTTGGTTTGTCTCTTTTTTTTTTCTTTGTTGTGTTTCTTAAATTCCACATGAGTGAAATCATACGGTATTTGTCTTTCTCTGACTTATTTCACTTAGCATTATACTCTTTAGCTCCATCCAAGTTGTTGCAAATGGCAAGATTTTGTTCTTTTTTTATGGCTGAGTAGTCTCCCATTGTGTATACACCATATCCTCTTTATCAATTCATTCATCTGTAGATGAACACTTGGGTTACTTCCATAATTTGGCTGTTGTAAATAACACTAAATAAACATAGGGATGCATATATCATCTTGAATTAGTGTTTTTTATTCTTTGGGTAAATACCCAGTAATGGAATTACTAGATCAGATGCCTCCATTTTCCTGTGGATGGACACTTGGGCTATTATGAATAAAGGTGATGTGAGCTTTCTTGTACAAATGTTTTTGTAAACATGTTTTTGTTTCTTTTGTGTCAGCACCTAGAAATGCAATTACTGGGTCATAAGGTAGTTATATATTTAGTTTTAGAAGCAATTGCCAGATTTCTTTCCACTCCCAGCTACAATGTATGGTAACTGTAGTTGCTTCACATTCTTGTCAACATTTGTTGTTGTCTGTCAACTTAATTTTAGCCATTTTGGTGGGTGCATAGTGGTGTCCCAGTGTGGTTTAAATTAGCATTTCTTGGGACGCCTGGGTGGCTCAGTTGGTTAAGTGTCTGCCTTCGCTCAGGTCATGATCGCAGGGTCCTGGGCTCGAGCCCCACATCAGGCTCCTTGCTCGGCCCGGAGTCTGCTTCTCTCTCTGCTTGTGCTTGCTCTCTCTCACAAATAAATAAATACAATCTTTAAAAAAAAAATTAAAAACCTTAAAAAAACAAATTAACATTTCTTTGATGACTAATGATATTCAGCAGGTTTTCATGTGCTGATTAGCCATTCATCTGTTTTCTTTTATAAAGTTACTTTTCAAATATTTTGCCTTTTTTTTTTAAATCAGGTTATCCTCTTATTGAGTTATAAAAGTGTTTTTATATACTGGATTACAGTTCTTGGTTAGAAGTGGCTTTTTTTTTTTTTTTTTTTAAGATTTTATTTGAGAGAGAGAGAGAGATCGAGAGAGAGCACGAGCGCGGGGAGGAGAGGGAGAAGCAGGCTCCCTGCCGAACAGGGATCCAGACTCAGGTTTTGATCCCAGAACCCTGGGATCATGACCTGAGCCAAAGGCAGATGCTTAACCAGCTGAGCCACCCAGGCACCCCTAGAAGTGGCTTTTTAAAAATATTTTTTGGGGTGCTTGGGTGGCGCAGTTGGTTAAGCATATGACTCTTGATCCCAGCTCAGGTCTTGATCTCAGGATTGTGAGTTCAAGCCCTGCATTGCGCTGGGCGTGGAGCCTACTTAAGAAATACATTTTTTTTTCTCCTAGTCTGTGACTTGTTTAGTTCTTAATGGTGTCTTCTGATATCCTAAAGTTTTTAATTTTTATGAAATCTATCAAATTTTTCTTTTACAGTTATATTGCTTTCTGTGAGTTAATAATTCTTTGCCTACCCTCCACTCAAGATATTCTTCCATGTTTTCCTTTGAAAACATGGTTTTAGCTTTTGCATTTAGGTCTCTGATCCACTTTGAATTACTTTGTATGTATGGTGTGAAGTAGGGATCAAAGTTAATTTTTCTTTCATATGGATGGGTGTCCAATTATACTAGCACCAGTTTTTGAAAACTTTGACCCTCATTTCTTTGGTGCCCTTTGTAAAAATCAGATGATTTTATAAGTAGAAAGTAGAGTTTGTTTTGGGGCTCTCTGTTCCATTGATCTCTTCATTGACCTTTATGCCGTACCACACTGTCTTCATTCTTGTAGCTTTTGAGTAGGTCTTTGAATTGGGTAGTATTGGTCCTCTTGCTTCTTTCTTTGTGTTTTTGTCTGGTGTGGGTTTTTTTTTGTTGTTGTTTGTGTTTTTAATTTTGAAGATACTAATATATGCTTAGACTTTCTAGAAGGATATACAAGGACACCGGAATAGAGATTGTTTTTGGCAAAGGGAAACTTGAGTGTTGAGGGACATGGTGAGAGAGGGAGAGATACTCCTCATTTTATGTTCTTAGAATGTTCTAAGAATCTATGTTCATAGATCTCTTGAATTTTTTTTTTTTTACTGTTTATGTATATGCTAAGAGATTCACATTTTAAAAAATTAATATCATCTATTTCCCTGGGAGTGAATAGTTAGGCTCTTGGGAACCAATTTTAGTATATGTGCTGCCAAAGCGAGCACGACTCTTGGGAACCAGCCAGCAAGGAAGGGGTGACCCGGAGACCACCAATAGGAGAAGCAGGTAGGGAACTAAAGACAAAAGGAAGTAGCCCTTGAAAAATGTTTTTATAGAATAGGAGAGTTTAGGCTCAGTAAACTTGTTATTTGTTTGAGATTATTGAGGGGAAAATAAAAACTATGAATTAATTTTAGTTTAATGGGTATTTTTATTGTGGTGAAAGTGTATGTGTATGTGTTTCTTCAAAATCTTAGTAAAGACCTTTTTTGAAAATGTTTAACAAATATGTGCCATCTGGTACTTTTCAAGAAGCACATAGTTGTTTAAAATCTAGCAAAGCTAACCCTGCATAGATTTTTTAATTTCTGTTGCAAAACATAAGGACTCCGTGCTATTTGTGTGAATCTGGCTCTTTTTTTTTCTTTTTTTTTTTTTTCATGATGATGTGGCTGATTCTTCAATGTTCCTTTTTTCCCTTTCTTTCTTGGTTTTCAAGGCTTTGATAAAGTTCAAGAGTTATTTGTATTTTGAGGAAAAAGACTTTGTGGATAAAGCAGAGAAGAGCCTAAAGCAGACTCCCCATAGTGAGGTGAGTCATGGTCATAAAAATGTCAGAACTAGAAGGCTTTGAAGATTGGGACCAACCTCCTGATTTATACAAGTGAGGAAAATGAGGCGCAAAGGGGCAGCAGAGTGAGCTGCCTCTCCTGCTTGCTGTGTTTGTGCCCTTCCTGTGGCGCCGTGTGGCTGCTCTCAGAGGCCTCTTCAGGGTGCTAGGGATGGTCTACAGAGACAAGGGTAAAAATGGCAGCCTACTGAGGAAATGTACAAGCGATTGAGGAAGCAAGTCAGAGATATCTGTTCTTCTCAGAGGCAGGATCGAGTACAGAGGGAGGAACACTGGAATAGGAGAGGATCTTGCTGTGTGACCCAGAGGCAGCTGGAGCTGTCATGGTTCACTCAGGATCCTTTAGAACTTTCCCTGCTTCCTGTTCCAAGGTTGATGAAACACGTCTGCCCAAAGTCCCAGCATAAATAAAGGCTGGCACGACTGGACCAGCCACAGGGGCCGAAAATAGAAGGAGAAGGGGTGGAAGAAAATTTTGAGCTGGAGACATTTTTCCATAAAAATGCTGTGAAGCTACCTGGGACAGGAATAGAAGTAAATGTAGGAGAAAATAAAGTAGGGTTCCAGTTGTTTTAAGGGAGAAAAAGTAAAGGGAAACAGTTTATAGCTGTAAGGATGATACAACCAGATAATCCAGCCCAGGAGAACATCACTCTTGCTGGGAAAAACAGGCAGAGAAAGTTACTTCAGAAAAAAGAGCCTTTGCTGAAGTCCGTGGATAGTGGTTGAGAGAATATTCAGAGTAATTTTCGAAAGAAAGGACAAAGAAAATGAGGATTCAGAAATTTAGGAGATCTGAAGAGATTTTCAAGAGAGCTACAGAAGTGAGAATCTGATGCGAGGGAAGGGGACTAATAAGCTTACAAGGGTGTGGTTCTGAGGAATCGGTGGAAGACCAAATTCGTTTTTATAAACACAGTGTAACGAATAATAGAGAGTAGAACAGTTTGGTATAAGTAACATAGGAATTCAGAAAGCAAATAAACCTGAGGACTGACTAGAGTAGTGCATGTAAATACACTCTGAAAAATCTGAAGTCCTCTCTAAATGTAAGACATTATAAATGCTGTTCTTGGAAGACCTTTCTAGTGGCATGGTGACAGCATGCTGAAGGGTTCTCCAAGTGAGTTCTTTGGCAGTTTGTTTGTTCTGCTGTTAAATTCTGAAGTAAAACCACGGTTTTTGTTTCAGATAATATTTTATAAAAACGGTGTCAATCAAGGTGTGGCCTACAAAGATATTTTTGAGGGGGTTTATTTTCCGGCCATCTCACTGTATAAGAGTTGCACGGTATGTATCCTCTGTTCATCCTGTGAACAGGACTTGAGGGAAATAGGTGAATGGTGTTGGAAGAGCCATTGATGTGAGTTCCAGAAAGAAGTCTAAATCGCTAGCTGAAGAGTGAGAAGGGAATGTGTTCCTACTGTGACTGTGGCTATTCCAAAAACAGTTGGGTGTGTTAGGAAGTATTTGCTTGGATAGATAAAAGATTGTGCAGATAGCGTGCCCCGTGCTTTTCCTTTGAATGTACTGTGTGGTAAATGCTACTGTTCAGTGTAAGGCATAGGAAGTATATACATGCAAAAGTCAACTTGGTGTTACAGGTCATGATGACCCACCATCATTGGTTAGTAACTGTTGGTTACTTCATATACTGTGTTTTTTTTTTTGTTTGTTTTTTGTTTTTTTAATATGATCCAGTACGAAAGGGACAACTTTGTTGTTGTTTTAAGTGATTTGAAGAGGTAATATCTGGAAGTTTCCATTTTTTTAGTCTGTCGCTAACCACCATTGAAGTAGAATAAGGAAATCTTTAGGTTAGAAACAGAAGTCAACCAAAGTCTGTTTTATTTACCTAATTTTTGATGGACATTAGGATGTTGACCACTTTTAGCAATGTTAAATCTATTTCATTTGTTCCACTTTACACCCTGAATGTCATAACTACATTTAAAACGTTCCTGTGTCATGTTAAACTTTTTCACTCTTTTCTTCTGTGTTTTCATGTCTGTCTGCTTGAATTGAATTATCCCAGGTTTCCATTAACTTTGGACCATGCTTCAAGTATCCTCCAAAGGATCTCACTTACCGCCCTGTGAGTAACAGTCACGACGCATCCTCAGTATCTCTGTTACTTCTTTTTTGTAGCTATTCTCATCACCTCATTTCTGTTTCTTGTTCCTCCCACAGATGAGTGACATGGGCTGGGGCGCTGTGGTAGAACATACTCTGGCTGATGTCTTATATCATGTGGAAACAGAGGTGGATGGGAGGCGGAGTCCGCCATGGGAACCCTGACCAGGTCCCTCTTTGCAGACATGGACTTTCTGGGGAATAAATTGGGGAGGGGGGCCTGTTTTTGTTTTTTAACTGTTGCAAACGTTCTCCCAAAGATACTGCAGAACACAGCCTCTGCTGTTAGCAAGTTAAAAGTGTGGGTGAGCCTGGGAGAGACTCCCTCCCCTTCAACACTCTCCCACTTCTGGTGACTGCTTCTGTTTTGTGTGCCATACGCCAACAACCGCTGACCCTAGGATCCCATGCGCTCCCTGTGAAACTGGTGCTGTACCATGTGTCCCACCAACTGGGACTTGATACCTTACTGTATTTTCTACAGAGTGAATCATCTTGTCCAAGTAGCTAATTTATTTAAAGACATTTCCTTTTGTGGCATTGACTTCATCCATCTGATTTCCAAGGAAGTAATAGGCCTGTTTCTGAGAACAGCTGAAACCAGTGGCTGTACATTCCAGATCTAAAAGGTCTTTCCTTTTGGTGTGGGTTTTTATTCATTTTGAAACATTTTTGAACACTGGGGTCTCTGAAACTACTAGGTCTCTAGAACTGTAATTGTAAAAAGAACTTGCTTGCAGCTTTAACAATTAGAAACCCTTCCCAAATAAAACTTGTCTTCAAGTGTGTGTGGCACTTTGCTTCCCTTTCACGTTGGGTTCCTCTTGGGACAGGGATAGCAAGGTGGGCAGTCTGAGGAAAGGTAGCCAGAATTGGGGGAGACAGGCACGTTTCTGACTCTACCGCAAGCCCTCTTCTCTTGCTTCCATTCTTTCCAGCCAACTCAACCACAGTCTTTATCCTGTGAAATCGGACTCTCAGGGAGGTGAACAAGAGTTTAAAAGGGCTAATGGGGGAGCGCCTGGGTGGTTCAGTCAGTTAAGTGGCCGACTCTTGATTTCAGCTCATGATCTCAGGGTCCTGGGATCGAGTCCTACATCAGGCTCCGCACTCAGTGGGGAATCTGCTTGGGATACTCTCTCTCTCTATCTCTGTCAAATAAATAAATCTTAAAAAAAAATTTTTTTTTTTTCCCAAATCTCAAGTGACTATTAGTGTCTTCACACAGTAGTTTTGACTAATATATTTGTCTCCTAATGAACCATCCAGGCTCTTTGTCTTGGCCTTTCTGCATCTCTTCACATACTAACAGAGTCAGTATGGTTGTAGGCTAAAGACTCCGTCTGTCACCGCTGGACACCTACCTATTCATTCATGGCTGGTCTTAAAGGGCAGACTTGGTTATAAAGCTGGATGATCAGAGTTTGAAGAACTCTAAGAGAATGAGGGTAGTGCTCTTCAGAGGAAGCTGGAGGTAAATTCTTTGTAATACAAATTACCACGTTACTTGTACACCCACCCTCCATTTAAATGATAAAATTTTTGTACATTAGATTCTCATAAATCAGGTTACAGAAGTAATGATTTTGCCTGTTTATACATGCGCACGAGCATGTGTGTGTATGTGTGTTGAGAAGGTTCATTTGAAGGGCTCACAGAACACCCACTCTTCATGTAGACCTCTATAAAATGGTCTCTGTAAGCAGATCATCACTGACAACTTACTTTATTCCAATGTAAAATTAAACAAGTGGGAAAATATCTCCCAGTCTCCTCAAAGACACAGTTGCTTGGTTTGAAGAAGGCAAATTAAAATCAAGCTCAAAACTATGGTATGTGGTAAAATCCCACTTTTTTGCTTTCAGCCTGTTCTTTTTTGAAACCAGAGTGTATATTGCTTCACACATCTTTAAAACAAGTAATCATTTTCTCTTAGCTGGGAGTGGATGATAATTCTGTTCTAGAAATACTTATACAACTATCCTCTCTCACTCTGAAGCTTCCAGGTAAACAATATATTTTTTTAAATTTTTATTTATTTATTTGACACACGGAACACAAGCAGGGGAAGCGGGAGAGGGAGAAGCAGGCTTCCCGATGAGCAGGGAGCCCGATGCGGGACTTGATCCCAGGACCCTGGGATCATGACCTGAGCTGAAGGCAGATGCTTAACCAACTGAGCCATCCAGGTGCCCCAACAATAATTTGAGCTATGCTAAAAATAGACCACTCTAGGAAACGATCAGAATAAATAATAAAAAATACTTCTCTGAGCTGTAAAATTTCAATAGCTGAATAAATATCAGCATTCCCACTCCTGCTGAGCTCTTTAATAAATAAGCTAGGGCTCTATTTCCAAATGCTTTAAATCATCAATGCTATTAGGACCCAAATGGAGGGGCGCCTGGGTGACTCAGTCGTTGAGCGTCTGCCTTCGGCTCAGGTCATGATCCCAGGGTCCTGGGATCGAGCCCCCACATCGGGCTCCCTGCTCCGCGGGAAGCCTGCTTCTCCCTCTCCCACTGCCCCTGCTTGTGTTCCCTCTCTCGCTGTCTCCCTCTGTCAAATAAATAAATAAATAAATAATCTTTAAAAAAAAAAAAAAAAAACCCAAATGGAAAAGCTTCAAGTGGTAATGGTTTTTCATCCTGCCCATACACGTTAGCAAAGGAATCCCATCCAGTTTATATTTTTAAAGCGTAAGTTCTCTAAATCTTGGAAGGGGAATTTGCCATCACCACAGCACCTCTTTCAGCCATCCCCTCTAGAAGTTGTAAAACACTGGCCTGTTAAAAGGCAGAGAAAGTGGCAGCCCTGAGCCAAGCTGGAAGCTGATGTAATCAGCTCTGAGCTAAACATTCACTTCCTTTTTTAGGTGTCAACATTCACTTTGGGGAAAATAAAATTTGTTTCTGTTCAACTTTGTCATTCATTCTCTCATATTTGGTCCTATCCTATCTTTTAATTAGGTAAATAAAAATCCTCAGTCATAATCCTTCCAGTGCTCGTCAATCAGCTCCCAGTTCTAGAGTTCTTTTAAGAATTGATTTAGGCTTGTGCTTATGGAAATTAAACCCTTATGAAAGATCCTGGTCACAGATTCTAAATAATTGAGTGACCAAAGTGCCCAGTAGTTTTTCCTTCTAATGAGCTAGGGGATCAAGTTTCATTAAAATATTTGTCCAGGACTCCTTTAGCATGAAGTTGCAATTTACTAGAATGATTTTTTTTTTTTAAGAGTAGAATTTTTAAACAGGTACAGACTGAAGTTTTGGTGTCAGTTTTGATTTTTTATTCTGACTGATACTCATGGAAGAAGTAGGAGAACTGGATTAATTCGTTTTCTATTTTTTTTCAATCAAGAAAACTTAGACTACATTTCTAGAAGGCACCTGCTGTGGGGAGTTGCTTGGTCTTGGTGCAGCTTGCTACCTATTTGGTAGAGGGGCAGAGGGTTGCTGGGGTCCCTTTTATAAGACCCTGCTGTCCACACACACTGCCTGCAGGGAATGGAGCTCATGAGCCCATAAAGGATAAGGTTCCAACCCTTGTATTTAGCACCCTCTGCACCCTATATGAGCCAGTACCATTTTAAAGATGTTTTAAAATAGACGTGTAAGGGCCCAGAAGTTTTACAAATATTTGGGGGCCTTTAACCTTCATTTCACAGCTAATCATTGAAGTTAGAAAGCTCTTTCTCTTAAAAGCCTTGTCCCCATTTTCTTGCTCTTAAAATGTTACCAATCTGAGTCCCAGTGTCCTTCTAAGTACACTCCCACCCCATCCCACAGTCCCCAGATGAAGATCTTAAACAGACTTGTAGGCTTCTAGCAGGGATCTTCCTGATAAGCATGCAAGCCAGTGCAGCTAGGAACAGTTGGAGGGAGCAGGCTGGTCCTTAACACCTGGCTTCAGGAGCAGGGCTGGACTCCAGGTGCTTGCGCAGGTGGTTGGCAAAATCCACCTGGGTCTGTGATAAGACCTGGTTGATGATGGTCTTTGGCAGCCATCCCTAGAGTAGAAAAAGAATGTGGCCATCTTGTGGGTAGTGTTCCATTGTAGAAACGTCTGTACCCTATCACAAACATGGGTTGCTTAGGGCTTGGTCTTCCAGCTCTGTTTCTGGGTGCAACCTTGGTGTTGACCAGGAGGACTGACTGCGTTACTACCCTGCTGTGCCGAGCAGTGTCCCCAACTGCTCTCTTCCCAGCTGTGTGACCCTGAGCTAGCAACTGTATTTTGTGGGGCCTAAGTTTCCTTCTTTCCAAATTGATAACTGCAGAGTTGAAATTTGACACAAGAGGTAAAAGGGAGGAGCTATTGTAGGCTTTTGAGATGATGGAATAGCAGGTCATTACTCAAGCCTCTTCCCTCCAACAATCTGTCTCTCAAAATGGAAGAGGATTTTTCCTGTTCCTTGTGGGATAATGTGGGAGGGTAAAGCCAGTTTTCCTCCCCACCACCTGCCCACTGAGCCATTTTGTGCCCCTCACCTTGAGGTCAATGCTGAGCAGCCAGATGAGTTTGGTCTTTGAGGGACTTTGAGCCAGGGGATGGAGCACCATGCACGTGGGACCATGCTCGCCTCTGGCAAATGAAGAGATGTCAAGTCAGGGGGGCCTTGCAGAATTCCCCTTTATGCTGACCAGTTACACTAGCCACACTTCCTTATTACTTTGCCTTCTCCAAATCCAAGAAATATTTTTTGCCAAGGGTGATATTTAACGGTTGGCATGGTCACCAGCTCATCAGAACAAATGCTGGTTGGAGCTAGAGCCTGGGGGCCTCTTGTGGTGCCTTGAAGTTGCAGATGGCCAGGGAAAGGGTCCAGGGTGGTGCCTGGGGCCCCTAGGAAACTGAGGTAGGTAGCAGCTGTGTTCTGAGTGGTGTGGATTACCTTTTAATCGACAGTACGGTCGTACCTGAGCATCCCAGCTAAACCGCAGCCCTACCGCATGTTTTAGAAAGTTACTAAGGTGCTTAAACTTTCTGGGAAGGTCAGGACAAACCGGCTATCTAAATAGGGCCAAACTTGTCTTCCTCCCCTGCCATGGAAAAAGAATATTTCTGTGTGGAAGGAAGCTGAGGGTAGGGACCAAAGGACTGGTTTCTTGGAGCTGAGGATTCATCACACACTTGGTGCATGCCCACAAGCCTGTGTTAGGAAAGGGAGGTTTTTTGGTTTGGTTTGGTTTTTCTAAAGATTTTATTTACTTATTTGACAGAGAGGGACACAGCAAGAGAGGGAACACAAGCAGGGGGAGTGGCAGGCAGAGGGAGAAGCAGGCTTCCCGCCGAGCAGGGAGCCCAACTGGGGGCTCGATCCCAGGACCCTGGGACCACGACCTGAGCTGAAGGCAGACGCTTAACGACTGAACCACCCAGGTGCCCCAGGAAAGGGAGGTTTTGAGCGATTGCCAGTATTACCTGATGACACCTTTCTGCTCAGGCATCTCCCCGAAATGTGTGGCAATGCCAGCCAACACACAGGTGGAGCCTCGGCGCTTGGCACAGCGCACGCTCACGAAGTCACGGGGCCCCACCAGGTTTCCTGCTGCTTCTGCAGCCAGCTCATGGGTGATGACTGTATCTTTTCCAATCTTCTGCAGGACCTGCCAGGCCACAGGGAGCCGAGTCACCACCCAGCCAGTGCTGGTGCTAAGGCACCATCCGCGGCTTGCAGCCTCTTTGGCGCACCCTTCCGACTGGGCTCCTCTGGGTGCCCGCCTCCCCACACCTGGACTTTCCTCACCTTGATCTCCTTGACATTTGGGTTCCACTCTCCCATTGCTTCCATGCGTTCCACGAGCTCTTCATAAAGCCTCTCCATGGGCTGGTCCACCACCACCTCCAGCCGGAATACCTTGCCCACATCTGGGACCACTTTACTCAGTACTTGGTCCCCATTCGCCTGTCAGGGAAGAAAAAAGGAGCTGCAGGATAAAGGTTAGAGAGAAATATCCCTCGCTTAGGGCACATAGATGGGCAAGGCAGGCAAGGCAGGAAGGGGAACAGCACGAAGAAGCCTAACATTACTTCTGATTAAGACCGTTGGTAATCTTTCCTGCCCCAAGCTGCTGAAGCCTGGAGAGGTAAGCTGCCAGCGCCTGGACCCTTTCTTCTTGGTGGTAAGTGTTGATGGGTGTGGGTGGGTCCAACTGAAAAGGCTGCTGCTCAACCTCAGAAGCGTAAAGTTGCTGGGCAAGACAAACCTGGGAGTGGGAGAGTCTGATCTGCTACCAGCTAATTACACACACACAAACAATGTCGGGTGGGAGCTTAAAGAGGTTTTCAGTCCAATACCTCCTTTTACACCAGAAGACTGGAGACCCAGAGACCCTTAGCCTGAGGGCATTGCTGGGCCTACATCCCAGATTTCCTGGCTCCCAAACCAGGAGTCTGCTAACTCAGAACTTGAAGAAGGAGCGGGTTTACCTGAACTTAGGGCAATAGGCAGCATGGAAGCTTCTGGATGAAGGCAGAGCCACCAGAGTCTCAGTAGAGCCCGTGGCCCCGAACACGTGCCTGTTACTGGTTCCCAGTCAGGATGCGGTGCTCAGGAGCCAGGAAATCCAGAAGGCTTTGGGCCATTTGTATTCTCGTCCAGCCCCGTTGCGGCTGAGCCCAGATCAGCCCTGCAAGCTCAGCTCTAAGAAGGCTACACAACACCAACCCTGCGCCTTGGCCCTGGCCCTTCTGACCCAGGGTGGTACGGGCCTCTAATGCACGCAGAACCCCCACTGCATGGTCTCTGCCAAACTGGGTGTAGAATGCGTTTGGAGGGTAACGAAGGATCCAGAACAGTGTTTCTCAAACACGAGTCTCTGCGATATCTTTGATGGGCAAAGGGAGTATCGGAGGATGTATTCTTGAGAAAGGAGAATTTTCAAATTACAACTACCTGCTGCATGAGGCAGGAATCCTGAGGCCTTTGAGAATGGCAGTGGAACAGTGAGGAACGTGGGTTCCTCCAGGCCCACGCTTACCTGCTGGTTCTCCTCCTTCCAGCCCTCCTGGCTGCTGAGGATACCCAGGGCCTTCTGCATGGCCTCCTCTCCCTGCCGGATATAGGCTAGCTCCTGGTCGCTGTAGAGGGTGTCTTCCAGCCGAGAACCTGGACACACAGCCAAGGAGAGACCGGGCTTGCTTCTGTTTCCCTGGCCTCCGCCACGGCTGCCATCCCTTCAGTCTGGATCTGCTCATTCCTCTGCAGAGCCAAGACCAAAGCCATAGGGTCCGGCTTGCAGGTGAAGTTAGACACACAGCTGCAGCTGACGGGGGTGGCCTTGAGGAACTCCAGCCCCACCCTCTCTGAGTGAGAGGCCAGCTTAGGGTTAGGGGGAGGCGGGGGTGCGGGAGGGAAGCAGGGCAGCGTGCCCAAGCTCACACCCCGGAGCCGCCTCCTGCTGGCACGAGCCCAGAAGCCTCAGTACTTACCGAGCAGAGAACTCCGACGCCGAACCTGGTGAATCCACGCGCCGGGGCTCGGGCCCCCCAGTGCCCTCCGGTTCAGCTCCTGGCTGATGGCCAGCACAGCCTGGTGTCTCAGCCCTGCGGAGAGGGGAGGTAATTGTTGCTTAGAATCAAGAAATCCCCTTAGAGCGAGACCATTGCACCCCTTCATCTTGCCACAGATGAGGAAACACCAGGAGAGGGAGGTGACTTGCTCAGGAACACGGATCCCTAGGGGAGACCTCAACTAGAGCCAGGTCATCTCCCAGTCTAGTGCCGTTGCTCTCTGCCAGGCCACCTCCTGGGCCCAGAGTTGACCTTGCATCTGGGCTGGCCAGGCCCGGTCCTGCCTGGAGGCGGGGGCTGGACGGGAGCCCGCTGAAGTTTCCTTCTCGAACGAGAGAGAAGCTTCGTTCAACTAGAAAACAATCTGCTGCAGAAGGAGGATTAAAGATGCCCATCCCCTGTAGTCTGTGTTGCTGTCAGCAGCTGCGGTCCTTTGCCTGAGTAACTGCTCAGCGTGCCCCTGGGCGCAGAGCAAGGTGAGTCTTGTTGATCTAGTGAGAACAGCCCCGCTGCTGGTCGGGGTCTTCCAAGCATGGCTTCCATCTAAACGGAAGCCGGTTCCTCCCAGTGTAAGTGGGGAGCACTTTCGATTGGTTTGTGTACCCTTCAATGACCGCAGGGGATTGACTCAGATGACCTTGGGTCCTGATTAGCTCTACAAAATCAGACTTGGGTAACTGGTTCTGCTTCCTCATTGTACAATGATAACCAGACTTCCAGCTGCACCCGCTTTCTCTCTTCACTTTGCTCTTCTCTGCCCCCGTCCCCCATGTCTCAGGCTTTGCCAGCACTGCCCGCTGGACTCAAGGCTCACTGCCCCCCCCCCCCTGCGCTGCGGCTCAGTCTTTGCTGGTACCCTTGGTGCCGATTCAGGCAAAGTCAGGAAGAGCTCAAGAAAGACTGGAGCCCTGGAGAGCAGGGCAGAGGTGACCAAACCCGGGGGAGGGGGGCGAGGGACACAGGCGTCTTAGTATCCAGCCCAACTGTTCACATGGGCAAAGGGATGTCCAGAAGGGAAGAGACGTGTGCCGGTTCCCCCAATGAGGCGCAAAGTGGGATCAGCCGGGGAGCTACCTGAGTGCTCCGGGTCACCATGCGGGCCACCCCCCTGGCCTGGGGAACTGACCTTTCATGTTGCGCACGTGTCTGTAGGAGCTCCCAGCACACAGCTTGAATGTGGCTAGAAGCATGGTGTCCAGGCGGTGGGGACAGGCAGGGGAGCGGTGCTGTGGACACTGCTGCCGTTGCCTCCGCTCTCAAGGGTGGCTTCTTCCTTCCCTCTTCCCCCCCACCCCCCGGAGCCTGTCAAGGTCTGCCTCTGGGTCCGGCAGCCAGGGCTGGGGACCAGCCGAGTGTTCTGCGTCTTAAATGCCCCCCCGCTGAAGGCTGTACTTCATCATCCGGAGATAAAGCCATCACTCGCTGTGCGAAGGAAGGGGTCAAGGGTAGAGGGATTGCCACACACCATGGCTTTGGCCATTTGCGGGGAGCCTGGAGGAGGCGGGCCCATAGAAAGGAGCAGGGAGGCCGGTGCCAAAGGAGCAGGGGATGGAGGGGGCAGAAAAAGAAGCAGCTGAGGTCAAGGCAGTTTGGAAGAAAGCATACACCATCTGACTGGTTTTCAAATAGCATGTGAAGTGCTGTTTAAAATATAGGTTTCTGGGGGCACCTAGGTGGCTCAGTCAGTTAAACTTCTGCCTTCTCAGGTCATGATCCTGGGGTTCCGGGATCAAACCCCAGTCCTGGGATCGTCCGGGGATTATCCTAGGATCGAGCCTGCATCAGGCTCCCTGCTCAGCGGGGAGTTTGCTTCTCCCTGTCCCTCTGCCATTTCCCCTGCTTGTGCTCTCTCGATCTCTGTCAAATAAAATCTTAATAAATAAATAAATAAAATGCAAATTTCTTTTTTTTTTAAAGATTTTATTTATTCACTTTGGGAGAGCAACAGCGCACAAGCCAGGGGGAGCAGCAGAGGGAGAGGGAGAAGCAGACTCCCCGCTGAGCAGGGAGCCCGATGCAGGCTCGGTCCCAGGACCCTGGGATCATGACCTGAGCTGAAGGCAGACACTTAACCAACTGAGCCACACAGGGACCCTAAAACTGCAGATTTCTGGCCCTCGGCCTCAGAAACTCTAGATTCAACAGGTCTAGAATTGAGGCTCTAAAACTTGTATTAAGGAAAAAAAAAAAAAATCCCAGGCCGCTGCCATGCAGGTATCTTGTGAACTGCATGCTTCTCTTGGAGAAGCATTGCCCTGGTCTCTCACGAAATCTTTTCCCTTTAAGATTGAACTTGAGGTTGCTTCTAAGCTAGATTCACCCGGCAGGGATATCGGGGGTCAAGAGAATCACACTAGTGTGGCCCCTGGCCCAGGGCCTGCCTGCCTTGTGAGAGAGTTGTGTGTCCTGTCACCACTGCCCCGAGGCAGGGAGGGAAGGCCTACGGAGTGGGGAGCAGTAGCAGAACCCTACGGGCTCCTGCTGGCTCCCTCACCACAGAAAGGATGAAAGGGACTGGACCTGCTCAGAGCTCGCCCAGAGCCCACGCAGAACCTAGTGACTCTCACCCCCACCCTCCATTAACCCCTCATGAGTGGGAAGGGTCCAGTGATCCAGGGGCCCTTGTCCTGGGCTCCTCTCTGAGCAGTGGCTGCCTGGAGGTCCCCTGGCCCATTTCTCAAGGCCCACTGTGGGCCCTCTTCCTCTGGGAAGCCTTCCTCGACCACCCCAACCTTCTGGAATGGCTTGTTCCTCTGTCTCACACTCTTACGGTCACTGCCACCGGAGGCGTGCATCATCTCGGGTCCCGATTTGTAGAATGGTTTGGGTGTGTTTGCTTGTCTCCTCCATGGGACTGTTTCTCCCTGAGGCAGGCGCCGTGTCCGCTCCCCCTCATCCCCCGCACTCAGCTCCAGGCAGGGCACAGAGCAGGCTCTTCCTCCTTCTCTCTGGGGTGCCCAACTGGGCAAGATGGGGGGTGTAGTATGTCTTTGGCTGAGAAAACCCAGCCTGTAGGCTTTGTTTCCAGCCCTTGCAGAGTCCCAGGGAAGACAGCACCAAAGGGAGAGGCCTGTGTGAGGGGTGGGGGGACTGAACCTTTCACGGCTGGATGAGAGGGTGCAGAGGGCTTGCTGAGAAGGCTGAATAGCAGCCCCCCCTCCCCTCGGCTTCTCCTCCCCGCATGGACACGTGCGCCCTCAAGCACATGTGCCCCTCAGTGGAGGTGGCGGGGAGCGGGAGGGGGTTATTATGGGACAGGCCATGCAGATAATGTTCAAGGCCCCGCTGTTGCCATCCTGGGGAGAGTTATGGCCACCGTGAGCGGGGAGGAGCTGGGCTGGGGAGACTGCAGGATCCAAGCACACAGCTGCTGCTGATGTCAGAGCGGCCACTGACTCAGGGAGGGGTGCTGGTGACCTCCCCCAAGGCCAAGGCCCTCGGCTTTCCTTCCTCATCATTCCCAGGACCAATGAGTAGTTAACTCTCACTGTCCCCCTGAGCAGTACGGTGGTTCCTCTGGCTCTGGACGTTATCTGTGTCTGGCTTTGCTTTTTGAGGACGGCAGAAGCCCCAAGGGAGGAGACAGGGTGGCCAAGGCAGGCCAGGGAGAAAGGCGACCAGAGGTCCGGCTCAGACGGTGCAGAGTGCGGGAGGGAGGCAGCGCTTGGGAGCACTCATTCCTTCAACACCCCCTTGTTGAGTGTCCACTGTGTGGCTCTGCCCTTGCGAGGGAAAATGAACCATGTGGCCCAGGAGGAGAGTCGGGGAGCCGAGGAGGAGTTCGGAAGTACAGAGGGTGGAGGGCCTCACCACACAGCGGGAAGGCGGAGTGGCCAGGAAGGCTTCTGGGAGGAAGGGACATTTGAGTTGAGTGTGCAAAGTGCGGTTAGGAGTTGCTGGGTTTGAGATCGAGGATGGGGTGCGGGGGTTCCGGGGAGAGCATCTGGCCAGCAGCCCGAGAAAAGATCTGAGGGTTGCTCCATAGCAGGTTGTAGGGAGTGGTGGGAGGTGGAGTACCAAGGGTGGGGGGGGGGCACGGGAAGACCCTGCAGGTGACGGAGCTGTCCGGGCCCCCGCTCAGAGGAGGTGTGCACGGGGCATCCCCGGGGTCCCGGGGGCTGGGCTGGCCATGTGGCGAGGCTGGGGAGTGGAGGACACGTGGGTGTCGCACCTCAACAGGCTCCCAGCCCCCATCCCGCCCCGCCATCTGCCTCTTGCTTCGCAATTGCCAGCCTCTCACTCCTTCCGTCTCAACGTCCTGATCTGTGAAATTGGGGTGTATTTTCCTTTTCCTTTGTGTGACCCTCTCAGGGTGGTGAGAAGGCTGCCATCAGGTGACAAATACATTAGGAGCCCACAAGAGAAAGTCCGGCCCTCTTAGCCCAATCTCCAGGCCCTCCAGTGTCTCCCACCCCAGCTGTCTTCTCTGGGGCCTGCAGGCTGTCTGCCCTGTGCACACCTTCACTTCATCCAGGTAGCTCACGGCATCCCCTGCCCTCAGGGCTTCCCCTTGGGCCCCACCTCGCTCTGCTCTTTAACTAGAATTCGGTACTTTTTCCTTTGGGCCCCCTCAATAAACGTGTAGCACAGTATCAGTAAGTCTACTGGCCTCCCACACACCCCTTTTTAAAAAGACTACTATTTTAGAGCAGTTTTAGATTCTCAGCAAAATTGGGGGGAAGGTATAGAGGTTTTGTTTTTAAATTTTTTTTTAATTTAATTATTTGAGAGAGAGAGAAGGTACAAGCAAGGGGAGGGGCAGAGGGAGAGGGAGAAGCAGACTCCCCGCTGAGTGGGGAGCCTGACGTGGGGCTCAATCCCAGGACCTCAGGATCACCACCTGAGCCGAAGGCAGATGTCTAACCTACTGCGCCACCTAGGCGCCCTTAGTACAGAGGTCCCCACACTTGCAGGTCCCCCTTTTTTGCATATCCATAAGCTCCATAAGGACCTGTAAACTCCACGAGAACTTGGATCCTTTGCAAGTTCTTGAATCCCTAGCACTCAGCACAGTGCTAGATAATTCATGGATACTGCATACTGCATCAATGTTTAATAAATGATTGGAAGGCATAGAGCCTGGTACTTTGTAGATTTTTCAATAAATACTGATTTTCTTCCATCTCTTAAGGGTGGTCAGCTTGGAGGTGAGGGCAAATCCTGGACTGCTTTTAGGGTATATGCTTATTTAGGATTGAAAGAATGCAGTATTTTTCTCCCAAGGCATCGTTGTGAGGAGGCAACAGAGAGTTCAGGCAAGTTTGACTCGTTGGGCTTGAGGTAATTATGGATTACCTCCCATTAGAGTACATTTTATGTCGTTGGTATCTTAATTCCTTAACCCGAGTTGGTCACCATCATTTCACAGGGCACCCTTATTTGTACAAAGTATGAGTTCACTGAGGGTATGGAGTCTATCCCAAGAGTCTGGCACACGTTGGGGATTCAGCAGATGATAGTAGCTGACGCTGAGCACGCCTCTGGGCAAGGCACTCTTGCAAGCTCTTTATGCATATTACTTTATCCTTACAACCACCACCCGGAGTTGGTACTATTCTTTTTTTTTTTTTAAGATTTTATTTATTTATTCATGAGAGACAGAGAGAGAGAGAGGCAGAGGGAGAAGCAGGCTTCCAAGGAGCAGGGAGCCCGATGTGGGACCCGATCCCAGGACTCTGGGATCATGACCTGAGCTGAAGGCAGACGCTTAACCATCTGAGCCACCCAGGCGCCCGAGTTGGTACTATTCTTATGCCAGTTTTACGGATGAGGAAATTGAGGCATTGAGGTAAGCAGCTTGACCAACCTCAGACAGCTCTGAAGAAGCCAGGCAATCTAGTTTGTGCTCTTGGTTACACAGCTAAACCTTTAAAAATCTCGTGTTTCTGGTGACACAGTCTTGGTTTCAGCTCAGGTCATGATCTCAGTTGTGAGATCGAGCCCCGAGTAGGGCTCCACGCTCAGCGGGGAGTCCGCTTGAGATTCTCTCTCCCTCTCCCTCTGACCCTCCTGCTCATGTTCTTGCTCTCTCTCTAAAATGGATGAATAAATCTTAAAAAAAACCTCGTGTTTCTCTCTGGAAACCGGGGCCAAGAGTTGCCTCTCATAGCCTGTCAATCCTGGCATATAGAA